GGTAAGAGATGATGGGGCTATATCAGATTGCTAGCTGTCTTGGGGAGGGAGGGGGAGAAAAATTTAAAACTCAAAAGCTTGTGGAAGTGACTGCTGATAAATCAAAATAAATTAATAAAAAAAAAGTGATGGGGGCCTGGACTAGGGTGGTAGCTATGTGTGAGAGGACATTTAAAGAGATGTCAGGAAGGTGGAGCCCCCTTCCATCTTCACTTGACCCCCCAGGTTGCTGCCACTCCTGAGCCTCTCCCAGCCTTCTCTGTGGACCTTTTGGTTGTCATACAAAACAACCAGGCTGTGCCTCCCTTGAAACTCCCTTCCTGTTGAAATGTCTTTAACCCTGCCCACCTCTGCCCCCTTGGGCATACCTTCTTGGTGTGTCATGGTGGCCTTGGGTGTCAATTCCCTTGCCTCCATTAAAGATCCTAGTTTTTGCTACTTTGGCAGTAGTCGTCACTTCTGATTGCCAGCTGGAACAAGGAGCGCCCTGCTCTTAAGGAACTTACAGTCTAATGGGGAATACAACCTACAAACCACTACTGCATACACACAAAGACAGGTTAGTGGGGATGTGTGGGTTAAGTGAGAGTGAAGAGTTTCAGATGGTAACACATCAAAAAGTCTGTAATAAGCTCCTATTATGTGCCAAGCACTTTACAAACCTTATCTCATTTGATCCTTGCTACAATCCTGGGAGGTAGGTCCTATTATTATCCTCATTTTATAGTTGAGGAAACCGAGGCAGACAGAGGTCAAGTGACCTGCCCGGCTCATATAGGCAGTAAGTGTTTGAGGCTAGATTTGAACTCAGGTTTTCCTGACTCCTGGCTTAGTGCCCTCTCCACTCTGTCACCGAGGCACAGGGTAGACCTGGGTGACTGGAAGGATGGTAGTGCCGTGGATAGTAGTAGGGAGGTTGGACTTGGGGGGGGGGGATAATGGTGCAAATTGCAATGTATCCCCACTTCCCAGTCTTCTTCTACCTTGTCCCTTAACCAGGCATCTTCCTGTAGCAGGTGTGATGAGGAACATCCCGGTCAAGGTCAAAGGGTGAGTCCTTTGTTCTGGCTTTGAAGATCTCTCCCTTTGGGCTCTTAGCACCATCTTGTCGACTTCCATTGTGCCATGAGGGCCAAGTGGAGGAAGAAGTGAATTCGTAGAGGAGAAAGATGAGGCAGAGATCCAAGTAACCAGACTGTGCTGACCACAGAAGCCACAGGAGCAGAAATGGAAGGCCCCTTGGTGACATTCTCAGGAAGGCAGAAACCTTAGGGAGACATCACCCCACCCTTCGAAGGACTCTACTAGCTCTACCACCATCTGATAAGGACTCTTACCACCATCTGAAGACCTCCCTGACAAAAGGACATGCCATTATTTGATGCAAATTCCATCTACCTGCCTCTTGACTTTGTGCCATGGGACTTTTGTCATTCCGGACTGATTGTTTTCTTTGTGGCTTAAGTGTAGCATGCCTGTATAATAAATGCTCACTACTTTCTTGTTTGAAAAAAAAAAAGATCTCTCCCTTTGGAAGATGCACCCCCTACCCACTACCCACAATGGAGACTGATTATTAGAAAGGTATGATGTGGTTTAGAGGACCTTCCCTGGAAATCCGGATCTGCCACTCATCGCCTGCATGACCCAGGCCGAGGGAATTCCCTTCTCTTTTCATCTTCTGTACCATGAAGGACTTTAAGGGCCTCTAAGGCCCCTCCTTGTACTGCTTCTTGCACAATAATCTCCCAACTCTGCATGCTCTAGTTTTCCCCCATGCCTGGAGGGCTCTTCCTTATCATCTCTATATCCCAACTTCTTTCAAGTTCCAGCTAAAATCCCACCTTCTGCTTCCTGGTGATGGTAGTGCCTTCTCTCTAGGATTCTCTCCAATATCCTGTTCAGACAGACAGTAGTAATTTGCATGTGGTTTCCCTATTAGCTTCTTGAGGGCAGGACTGACTTTGGCCTGGATTTGTAACTCCAGTGTTTAGCATAATGCCAGGCACATAGTAGGAGCTTAATAAATGCTTGCTAGATTACTCCCAGCTTTAGATTATGACTAGTACAGCTTCTGAGATGAGGAGTGCTTGCCCATTGAAAGGAAGGCAACCCTCTTTTTTCTTTTTTTTGGCTGGGCAATGGGGTTAAGTGACTTGCCTAGGGTCACACGGCTAGTAAGTGTCAAGTATCTGAGGCCAAATTTGAACTCAGGTCCTCCTGACTCTAGAGCCGGTAATCTATAGACTATGCCATGTAGGAGTTTACTTTCTTTTTTTTTTTTAAGGCAATTGGCTTAAGTGACTTGCCCAGGGTTACACTGCTAGTAAGTGTCAAGTGTTTGGTCTGAGGCCCGATTAGAGTTTACTTTCTAAAGGAGACTACAGCATTGGAAAGTAGTGGCCAGGAAAGGGAGTTAGGGTCTGGGAAATCTCCTAGAGGCTGAACGGAACAATAGGGCAATCAATTGCCATAACCTCCATCAGTGACTCCATTTCTTCGAGGTTGTCCTAGGACCAAGAATATCTGTAGGGCAAGTAAACTCTTTACTTTCTCATAGAGAGTATCAATCGAAGCCTGAACCTTTGACCTTGCAAAAATTGACCTGGTTACTCAAAGCAACAAGAGTTGCAATTCCCTAGGGAATTTATCCAAGCTCAATGGGCTTCTTCAGTCCCTCTTCAGCCTTACCAGTCTACAGTCTGACACCTACAACATTTCTATTTGAAGATGCTGATCAGCCCATACAATTTCTGATCGTACAATTCTTTGATGGTAGGAAGGTAGGCATAGGTAAAGTTGCCAGAGTCCTTTCAAATGCCTTTTTTTAACCAAGAATTTCCCCTCTCATAGCTTAGTGCCTTCCTCTCTCCCAGAAGCCTGGAAAATCAATACTTCAATGCTTTCAAAACTGTGTTGCCTCCAGTGACGTTTTCTTGGGGGTGCACGATAATTTACACATAGGTCATTATTTTCTTTTCCACTAAGGAGAAAAAGGGGAGAAACGTCTTCCAACCATTCCAGAGCAATTAGGCCTTTCATTACTCAACATTCTAATATATCCTCAGGTCTGCGTTAGTACATCTAAAGAATTACCAGTGGCTTCTTGTCTGTCTTTTGAAATAAATTACTTCCATATTATGCACATCCACAGATCAATTTACTCAGTACATATAACATGGAAAACTCAGCACCCTCAATGATTTCAAGGTCATTACCACATTTCCTAACCTTTTAAATAATATTTTGTAAGATCAGCAATTCCTGGGGAAAGGACCACACAAAGACCCAGGGCTGTGGGTAACGTGGATTTTAATTTTTTGTTGACTTTACAATCTGCAAAGTCATAGGCAAGAATGTTGCCCTAACGGGGCCCCAGGAACAGTTACTGGGCACGTAAAGACAAATAATTGAGATGGGAACAATTTCTAGCTAGGGCTTGGGGTCATCACCAAATGGGCAGTGTTCTGAAAAACTCCAGGGTGCTAAAGCCCCGGAAAGTACCACTCATTAAACAAATAATTGTTAAACGCTTATTATGTGCAAGACACTGTGATAAACTCTAAAATTACTACTAACTCTCAATAAGACAAACTGCGTAATTTTCAGTTTTATAGTAGAAAGACGGCAACCTTTTGGATTGTTTCTAAAATAACGTGCAAGGTAAACCTTAAGTTCAGCTTAATGTTGATTGCCTGTTATTTTATGAAGGCAGAAAAAGTGTGCATATGTAGTGGTTCCCAAGACCAATATTTGGAACATAAGGAGAGTTACCTGAGGGCAGGGGCTGTTTTTACTTAGTATCGCCGGAGTTGCAAAGGAGTGCCGGGCACATAGGAAGTACTTCCTTCATACAAGTTTGTTGACTTTACTTGTGAGAATTATAGCTTAGCTTTATTCGTGCCTGAAGGTTAGCGACCTAGAGGAAATGCTTTGCCCTCCAACCGGTCACAGTCTTCCCTGGGGCACTAGATTTTTGCTCAAACTTGGTATTTAGAGAGGCAGTTTGGATCTAAGTGGAAAGGCCAGACTTGGGAGGTGGAAAGACTTGAGCACTAATCTTGGTCAGCTATAGGGCCTTGTCAAATCACCGGCTTTCTTTTCGGTTAATGAGGGGCCTGGATTAGATGATCTCTAAGGTCCCTTTATGCATATGTGATTACTGCAGCTCAGATGACCCTCGCTGGGCCCAGAAACCTAGACTTGACCTTACACGACCCAGGTCAAGCTAGCAGAGAGCCCCAGGACTCTTCTCGTCCAGCTGAGGTCCCCCGGAGACAGGAAAGAAGGGAGGGGGAGAGGCGAGCGTCAGCAAAGACCTGACCCAAGGGGCCCAGAACAGTGGGCGGAGCGGAGGGGTCAGAGTGAGGAAGGGCAGGGACTTTGGGGATTGGGGGTGGGGATGATGCAGAGGACCCGCCTAGTTCAGGGGACTAGCGGGGAAAGGTTGAAAGTGGGTGCGAGGTCGGGGGGAATAGGAAAGGCAACAGCAAGAAGCAGAGTTCTGGGGCCGGGGTGGGGGTGGGGGGGTCGGGGCAGGACCGGGCTGGGGCGGGCCACGGACGGCACTACGCGGCCAGACGCTGGGAAGAGAATGATGAAGGCGGGGCTGAGGGGCAGGGCCGGGGAGGGGGCGGTGCCGAGGGATCGGATTAGGGAGGGGACAAGAGGGTGATGAGAGTGGGGCTGAGGGGGCCGGGACTCGACTGGGGTGGGGTACTGCCCAGCCAGCGGAGGGAGGGTCCAGCAGGGTTGGAGGGTGGGAGGCGGAGAAAACTGAGCCAGAGGACCCAGACTGGGGAGAGGTGGTGCTGTGTAGAGGCACCAGATTAACGAGGGAAAGTAGAATTGTGGGGCGGGGCTAGAGGGGGCTGGACTGCGCTCAGGGGCGGGGCTGAGGACTGGACTGAGGATGGGTCTGGAGGGGAAGGGGGAGGTGTTCAGCAGGGGTGGGGGAGGGGGCGGCGACGATGCTCCAGACGGGGACTGAGGAGCCGGCGATGCTGTGGGCCGGGCTGCGGAGGGGGTGGCGTTGAGGGGGCCAGACTGGAGACGGGGCGGGCAGGAGGCGGTGCGCTCGGGGCCGGGCTGGACTTGGGGCCGAGCCTGGCAGCGGGGCGGCAGTTCCGTGGTGTCTGTTCCGCAGGTGCAGCGGCGGCAGCCTGAGCAGAGACGGCTCCACGTCGTTGGGAGGAGGAGCAGAAAGAGAGAAAGCAGCGGAAAGGACCGGCCGTGCGCTCTCTTTGCGCGGAGACCGTGCCCTTCCTCCCCAGATCTCCACCGCCCGCCTGCGGTGCCCTCCTGTCCCCGCGGGGCCGGGGCCATGTCGGGGCCGGGCCCGGGGGAGCCGGACGAGCAGTACGATTTCCTGTTCAAGCTGGTGCTGGTGGGGGATGCGAGCGTGGGCAAGACGTGCGTGGTGCAGCGCTTCAAGACGGGCAGTTTCTCGGAGCGCCAGGGCAGCACCATCGGTGTGGATTTCACCATGAAGACGCTGGAGATTCAGGGAAAGCGGGTCAAGGTGGGTCCGGCCAGCTAGGTCGGGAGGGGAGGCCGGGACGCCAGTTTGCTGCTCCTGGCAGGGATAGTGTGCCCGGGACTCCGGGAGAGCCCCCGGATCCTGGCCTCTGGGCAGGGAGGAGCGAGTTTCCGATAACGTTGCAGCTTTCTCCCCTACCCCCAATCCCCCAGAGCGAGTCTGGCCTTCGGGAGGGGGGAGGGCGTGTGTATGTTATTGCCCTGGTGCCCTGGGGATCGGGGGTGGAAAGAGGGGGCAGGACTGTGCCTTCTGCTCCCTCCAGGGACCTATCTGTTCCCTCCCCACCTCCTGACCTAAACCTGCCCTAGGCCTTGACCAGCGGTCCTGAAGCTGCTGGGTCCTCTTGCCCTAACTCTCCTCTGTTCTCTCCAGAAGGGGGAAGAGCTGAAAAAAGTTAGGATGGAGTTTAGGTTTCTTTTCGAAGTGGTCACTATGAGAGATTTTCCAGCGTTCTTTGTTACAGCCAAGACTGTCCTAGAATGTTAACTTTCAAATCCTGTTTGGTTTCACTCGGCCACCCCCTCCTCCACCCTCTTGTCACAGCAAGTTAGCGCCTTGGGGTTAATTTGGAGTTTGTTCTGCATTCGTTGCTGACCTGTCTGTTTCTTCCCTGATGTTCCCTGGACCACTGTTAGCTGGCCGGATCTCAGAAACTGAGAAAAACTTACCCAGAATAAAATCCCAGCCTTTTCCCCTTCACACCCTTTTCACTCCTTCCAAAAAGTAAGGGGGGGTTGCTTTTCACAGGATGGGGGGTGACCTGGAAATAAACTCGGTCACGAAATCTGCCTAGGGATAGAAACTTTCCTGCCAAACTGTCGGCCCTGTCTGGGACCAAGACAGAAACTTCTTTAGGCTATAGGTAGTGGAAGTGGTTTAAGGAAGTCCACACCCTCCCCACCTTCTGAGTGCCCCCTTGAGCCTTAGAGAGAGATGGATGGGCAGGTCTGGATAAACACTGACCCTAAAGCAACTGCTCAGGAATTTTACATAGATGGAAAACTCTGGAAATTACTGGAGGGCAAGAGTGAATTTTGGCAATATAGCCTAAGGGACAGGGCAGTGTGGAGCAGTGGAAAGAGCTGTACTTAAGAATTCATTCCAACTTGGATACTTATTAGATTTGTGTGACCTTGGACCACCCTACACAACCCCAGTTGACAGTTTCCTCACCTGTAAAATGGAGGCAATGCTAGAGATGGATTACCTTCCTACTGGGAGAAAAAAGCCTTCATATAAGCATGTATGTGACCAATTATTAGAAATCTCTATAGACTATTGTGTGCCACCCCTTGGGTCCTAGGCCAGAAGAAACAGATGACCAAGTGCCCTCAAACAAAGTAAAATCAGAAAATTACCCAGATAACTCAAGGCAGAAGTGGAAGCAGTTTGAGCCTGGATTATCCACACAACTGCCTTCCAATAACATTTTACATTCACTTGGGGCTTTTCAGTTTCCATCAGTGTTCACATTTGACCTTGTGAAGGCAGTGGGCCCATTACTCTCCCCATTTGATGGATTAAGAAACTGAGGCTCTGAGAGGTCCTTTAGTATCCCCAGCACTTAGCACAGTACCTGGTGCAGAATAGGTGCTTCACAAATGTTTATCGATTAATTGACTAAACAACCTTTATCTCAGTGGTCCATCGAAAACCAGAACCCAGCTGGCTTGGTTAATGTCTTAGCTCATTGTTGACCTTGGTCAGAGTACTGAGCTCTATTTTTGTTTGTGGGAAAAAGGGAAGATAATATCTGCCTTCCCTCTTCCTTATAGAAACTTTGATAAAACATGTAAGTCAATAGTGTTTTTGTGACCCTAGTGTTGGGAACACTAGTAGGAGTCACAAAGGAAGTAGATGATATTGTTCTTGTTTCAAGGAATCCACAATCTCTGTTTTTCTAAATGCTGTGTTTAGTTAGGGGAGGACAGCTATAGAAATTGCTGAGTAACTTTAAGAAGTGATCCGTGACTTTCCCCTTTGGAACAGGTGGCTGGTCCAGGTGTTTTGGATATGGGTGTGGGAGGGGGTGGTGCTCTAGGGTAGGTGGATATTTTTGTGCATGTTGCCAGCTGGTGGAGGGGGGAGGAGTGAAGGGGAAGAGTGTCAAAAATACAGGTATAAATAGTGGTAGTGGTTTCCATCTCTCAGACTGTCTGCCTGCTCAGCAAGCATCTGTAGTGACCTCATGAGACTGTATACCACATTTGTGGTTGGTTGGGATCTGGGCAGGATGTGCCTGTTTACCTGTCAGTGATAACAGCCTGTACTTAAGAGGAAAGCTCTTGGTGTACTGTGCCCCAGAGCACAAGTTAATTCAAAGTAGGTGGTTAGTTATTTGTTTCTCCTGGTGATCTTGAAATGGTCCTTTTAAAGGTACCTGTTGACAGCCTGAGAAAGCCTGAATCATTGGGGAATAACAGAGGTCTTTCATGTTCCTTGTGAAATTTCTAATAATATATTTTAAAATGCCTCATTAGAAACTTCACATTGAACGTCAGTACCAAGAAATTCGCTTAGTAGCTATTAACATTGAAATTAATTTCAATGAGCAAAGTATAATACTTTTCAGCCATTTCCTATTAAGTCTCCATTAGGAGTCTTAATCAATTTTGTCTCATTCATTCTTCCTATCACGATTATCTAGATTGGAGAGTGTTGCCCAGTGGAAAGAACTTGGGTTTTAAATTCAAATCCTGGCCCAGGGTCTTTAGATTCCCCCATTTACTCATAAGGTCTTTCCAAGTCTCTTTATATTCCTCATACTTGTCTGTCTTAATTACATTAGGATTTTAAGTGAAAGTCTTGTCTCTGACACCTACTGGAAATATGACCCTGACCATGTCACTTAACTTTCTGTAGCCCGAGCAACAGCCAAGATCATTTCAAAACAGATGCTGACTTGCTTTGACAGAGAGATCTTCCTCACTGGAAGTTCCCTATATCAATGAAATCATAAGATCCCCTTAAATAAAGGGGAGGGGGAGAGTAAGAATGGAAGTGACCTTAGCTAACCACCTCCATCTTTTTTTGTTTGTTTTTTGCATGAGGCAGTTGGGGTTAAGTGATTTGCCCAGAGTCACACAGCTAGTGTTATGTGTCTGCAGCCGGATTTGAACTCAGGCCCTCCTGATTCCAGGGCTGGTGCTCTATCCACAGCACCACCTAGCTGCCCCAACCTCCATCTTTTATATATGAAGAAACTGAGGGCCAGAAATGTAAGCTGACTTAGCTGCCTGAAGCTACCTGGACTAACTAGAATAGAGGGTGGAGTAGGAAGAGCCTTGGTTTGGGAATCTTCCTAATTCTGCTGTTTCTCATTATGAAAACTTGTGTAAAGTATAATTTCTCAGGATCCCGTTTTTTTATCTCTAAACAATGAGGGGCTTGGACCTACTTTAGTGTTCTGTAATGCTAACTACAATCCTTGATGAACCAAATTTTTTTTTATCGTTTTCTGCTCTTGACTTTTAGGAGAAGGAACCAACTCACAAGAAAAACAAAGTCAGAATTTAATTTACAATTTAAAAAAAGAAATACTTCTGGGATATGTCTTCGGGCCAGCGCACGTTCAGCACGGATGTTCCATGCTTCCTTGACCCTGTACAAATAAGTCTTTCTGTTGGGAATCAATGATCCTGAGACATAGCAAGTTTCAGGATCATGAACCAAAAAAAAAATTTTTTTTAAACCTCGACCAGAAGTCAGGAAAGGTGGATTAAAGTTCTAGCTTGGCAGCTAAATAGCTTATAGCCTTGGGCAAATCACCTGGCTTATTTGGACCTCACCTGGCCAAATATGTAAAATGGGGGTTATACTGGATTACCTCCCAAGTCCCATCCAGTTTCCAAGTTTTGTATTTCTAGTTATTTTCACTGCACTCCATTTCAAAAGTCAGGAAAGTAGATCTAAATAATTTAAAAAGTTTTTCAACTAAGGTTAAAGGAAAAGGGGGTTTGGGCTAGTCCAGGGGCAAAGTGAATAAAATGCTGGGTTCAAATTCTAAATTCTAGCATTCTAAATTATAGTAGTTCAGCTTCCAACCTATTCGCTGGTTTTGGCCCCACAGATGACTGTTAAAAAAGGAATCCAAAGACTGTTTAATGTTGATTTAGCAGAAAACACTTTCCTAAGGCCTTGTGGCTAGTGTGAATTGTGAGTTACTATGACCTTCCTGCCTAGTGCATTGTGGGAGAATCAGGTCATCCTCCTGAAATCCAAACTGGTTCTAAATCCCCCAGGCAGCTACTCAACCTGTTCTCTCCAAGAACACAGAGGTCTGGTTGCATAAAATATTTTCTGAAGGCACAGGAGGACAAACATCTAACATATTAAGGAAAGAGTCTCATAGATCCGTACCCCTACTTCACCAACCTCAAGTTACAGAATTAACATTTTGGGGAATTTTTATCAGATATCTCCTTCTGAGGAGGCCTCTGGTTTTAAGGGGAAACCCACTCCAAAGCTCTCCCTATGCTGAAATGTTCACCAAGTTTTGTTATCATCTGTTAACAGAGTCTTTAAGACCCAGGAAGGGGTGAGGTCAAAGACATAGGTAGGTTTTTAAAATTTGTAAGTCTGGCCTTCCTACCATGGTCCTGCCTGTTTTGTGACATGTTTCCATTTATTATGAAATTCTGGGTTCCGGTCTTGGCTTGGTTTGAATAGAAGAGGTTAGAAAATATATATATTCTTAGATAAGAGCAAAATTCTAGGTCAATGTGGTCTGGCTAACAAAAACCATTTAATTGTGTCTGCCTCATCTGCAAAGTAGACCATGCTTTGAGGCACTTGTCAAAGAGAAAGTGAAACATTTGATATTACATGCCAGGCCATGCAGGAGAAGTGATGGGCAGCTACCCATGGTCTACTTCACTTTAAAATGAGAATGATAAATACTGTCTTACAGGACAACAGCATTGGGAATATAGGCAATGATGTTGTTTAAAAGATTAAAGAAATCTATGAAATTCAGTTCTTTT